ACTCGTTGGACGACCGTACGGTGTACAAGCTGTTGACGCGGATGAACGGCTCTTACCGTTATCTCGGTTCGACCGTCATCCAATTGCTAGCGTTGTTCAACTACAAACGCGTCGGTTTTCTGTACCACAATAACCAGCGTCGGCCTACGTTCGGCAAGTCTGAATGCTACTTCCAAATCTACGCGATCTACAACCAGCTGATCAAGACAGCCGGGTGGCATACGTTACCTTCCGTTGACTTCGATCAATTTTTTATGACCTTGAGCAACTACGAGGAACTGCTAAAAAAGGTCTCAATGACAGCGAATGGTAAGTGCGTTTCGATCCAGTCGTGTAGCTTGAGAAAACGTGAAAACTGCGTTAAATCGGACGAACTGTTTTGATGCCGTTTCGTTTACCGTCTCTCCATACACACCAGGCAGTGACTTTCAGACTTTCCTGTTCAAAGGAGCAAAATTACTGTAGATTGTTCTTCATCTATGTCCGATGTGTCGTCTTGTCGCCCCTTGCTTGGAATAGCATGAGTATACCTGGTTTATATGCTATAGCGAATTGGACGATTGTCTCAAGAACGAGTATTTCGTTTATACGTTGATGGTCATAGTGAAAACGGCATAAACAGTTTTATGTATACACAGCACAATCAATATGGTCAATTATCTGATTGATCGTATTGTTTGCGTAGCGTATAAGCAAGCCGTGTTATATGCCCTTTTCAAACTCTCCGTCTCCGAAGTAACGTAACTACTGTATTCTCATGTCGAATAGTAAAAAAGAAGCTATTCAAAAATGTTGTTTAACTACTATTTCACAAAGTAGGATTTCTCGTAACGGACGGAAGTTGTGCTGACGCTTGCCTGCCTTACAAATGACTCATTACTGTTCTTTGCTAATGGTAGTCATATATTCGTTCACTGGCCCTTCAAGCAATAAATGCAACCGTTGGTCAGGTAAATAATGGCAGAGCCGCGGGAATTGATCGAACACAGCCGAAGCTAAGTGAAAAAATATTCTTTAACAGACTGCATTATGGCAGTACTGACTCTCTTTGAATTGGTATTACAGGAAGACGAGATTTTGAATGCTTGGACTGCAGCTGTTGTGTAGCTGTTATTTACCATATTTAAAGTAGAATCTAAACGACTACCGTAACATACGTCTATTATTCATTCCTGCTAAAGTGCTCATGCGTACTATTGTGTACAGGATTAGACAACGTATATATATATATAACATTTGGAAGGGTTTTCGTTTTGTTCACCAATTTTTCATACGGCCTATCTCTGATTTGAGTATATATAATACTATCTTACATAGACGGATGATATTGAATTGCTAGCAGACAGTTTCGAAGTTGTGGCGTTACTGTTTCTATCTCTGAAACGGACTTGTGCTAAACGGTTTCACTAAAGGTTCCGCAATATCCAAACGTTGTCAGTGCCTTGGATGCAGCCAACTAGTGACAATTGATGTTCTGAGGCGCTGAGCGCTGGCACTAACTGTCAATAAGTTCAGCTAACTCTGGAATGATTGGCATCGGCACAAAACTGCGCATAGAAAAGGTCAGCATTCTAAATATCTTCCTCTACGGTGTAGAGATGGTAGCGCATAACAAGGTTAAAACAAGTATTTTAAAGTGATGGATATGAAAATTTAAAATCAATATTGAGAGTGAAGTGGTACAATCTGAAGTCAAATACCCTCGTTTGAGTGAGTCTGGGATATCCAGTCAAAGCAAAGGTTTGACTAAAGGCAAAGAGTTAGTGGTCTCATTGCCAGCGAATGGAAAGTAATTGTCTTGCAAAGGCAATACCTAACACTAAGCCTGGTGGAAGCCTTCTAATAAAATGACAAGATCTCATAAGAAATCACATGGCATTAAAATGGCTTAAGAGTGAGTACATATTATGTGATTTCCGTGGGATGCCTATACAACAACCGGCTTCGTTGTCGATGCAATCAGCTGAAAGAAAGAAAGCTAACAGTTTTACCTTAGCTCTTCCGCAGTACAAGGGGCGTTTATCGTTCCTCTCCTCGTCTCACTGCTGTTCTTAAGTAATGGCCATTGAGGATGGTTCTTCAAGATTTGGATTGCACACCTTAGCGAAATGCATATCGTAAGCGCCTTTCTTCCAGCATGACACCTATGTTCAGTGCACTTGTAATGTGGGATAGAATGTGAACCAGAAGTATACAATAACTGATTACCATATTTTGTGCATACTGAAAACGGTTGAAAAATCAGGGGGCCTACAGTTAGTAGTTATCGCAAGTCTGAGTAATGGTTTACAAGTTAATGATATGATGAAAGAATGTATCGACAGCGAGGTTTGTTCGTGAAGTTAACTGTTATAACACGGATAGTCTACTTTTAATCTGTTCCAGATTAAAAGTTTACGGCATAGTTGTGGATAAAGCAACAAACAAGCAGACATTTTAATGATATAGATCGTACAGTTTCAGGTTGAACCATCGAAAGTTGGCGCCAAGTATGGATGAACGTCTTGTCATCTGTTAAGAGTTTATGAATCCTACTGGTAAATCAAGTGTTCACCATTTATCTTCAAAATCATAAATAGCCTGACGTTTATACATTAAACGCCATTGCAAGGACTATCTCTTACTCACCTTATTATTTGACCAGAATAAAGTGTATTCATTCATTTTGTTTCTTGTTAATAGTTTGTGCCCTATTTTTTATAGATATTGATTAGCTTCCAAATTATCACAAGGCATGGTTAAAATTATGGTGTGTGCACGAAAATGACCGGGAAATAAGGTCCCTGTTTCGTGGTGTTGTTGGCAAAATACAGTGATTAAATGGTGGGAGATTAGTAAAAGATATATTTCGTCTAGGGATGCAATTCTCTCGCTCGGGAAAGGAGAAAAAGAAGATTATTCGGTTAAGAGGTGATCATTATGGTTTAATCGTTTAATATTAGCAGCGAAACCGTCACCCTGAATAGTCGTTTGACTAAGCGGGGTGCTTCTGGTTTGTGATGTTTGTGCATACGTAACTTATGTACAGTAGAAGGAAATATTCCTCAATGAAAGCACATCTGTGTCCACCTTGTTTCTCCGGGTTGCACCCTGGTTTTCTAGCACTTGTGCCACTCTTAGTCCAACGCCTGCTGTGTTTCAGCTTTCAGATGAGTAAAAGGCAGACCAGAATAGCTGATTTATGCTCAACTACTTTGTCTAACAGGGCCATCCCCATTTTCTAAATCGTCACCTTTACTCACCTGAGGGTCACCTGTTGCCGAAAGAGAAGAGAGTCATTCCTTACATGGTTCTGCCAATTAACCCTCATTATTTATCTAAGCTAACGCTCTTGCACGTAGTTAGCCGTCGTTTTTTGTTCTTTCGTTCGAATAACTGTCTTCATGCCGTACAACACTGATCTTACAGGAGCAAGATGCCGGTGTACTTTTGGTTGCTCTTTTCTCACAAAATATTGAACAGATTTCTAAAAGCACTTGGCGCTAAGGCGATCATTCTGTTTAACTCTGGCCGAATGGTGCCATCGCCATTGATGGCATCTCGCTAAAGTGCTTCTCCTTCGTATGCTACCTACAGATCAGCTGTTATTCAGAACCACAATCTTTAGCATACATAAACTGTGCCATTCCGGCGACGTCGCACTACTTAATGAACTCTGATGGGCCAGTTAAATCTTGGGTTGATTCAGTAAATGTAAATCCGAGTGCTTAGGAGTATCCCATTTTTACATGCTGTCACTCTGTACACGTGAGTATTACTTTAGAATGAAGGAATTGTGATGAGCATTAAGAAGCGAAAGTATCGAAATATACTCTGATATATACTCGGCTCCAAAGCAGACAGTAGGTTGGTGGCCTGTGAACATTAGGAAAATGCAATTGCCTGATTCGGTCTTGCCAGGCATTGTGCTACTTATTTACGTGGCACTGGCATGTTCTTCGGTGCCGTTTAAATGACTGCACTGCTACTGGATCGTTTGGTGGCTGATCCTCTCGAGAGTGGGGGCTAAATAAAGCCTGCAAGGTGTTTAAGAGCTCCTAGAGTATTTGGGGAGTATTCCGAACACAATATGGTGCATAAAATTTGGGCTTTCTGACACTTGCAGCGCACGTCTGAATATTTTTGTTGTTCCTAGCAAAGTTTTCAAAGTTTCCAGCGATGGTTGTTTCTTTGCATTTATGCTGTGCCTTGATCATTTGATGCAAAAGAGCAGAAACGGTTTTAAAATTTTGTTTACTATGATACGTGCACAGCTTGTAGTCTTGAAACCACATCTGCGAATTCGGTTTTCTTTCTGACGCTATGTCCGACTGAACGTACTCTGAGTACTCTGCTTACTTGTGTGCTAATAATTTCTGCTTGTCTTTTTTTCTGTCGTCTGTAGCGGAGAGCATCGGTCGGTAACCTTAGCTTTACTGAACCCGTCTTCCGTTTTCTTCCACCGAGCAATACTCAACACCAAGTGAAAGAAAATCTGATTTACTTCGAATTATTTTAACTTAGCGGTTGTGCAGTGGACATTTCAATCCCGTTTTCGAGTTTTCCATGCATATTTAAGCTCAAGAAGCCACCATCTCCTCCGACTTTTGCTTGTTTCGTTGGCTAAGCCACATTAAGCTGATTTGCATGTGCAGATTATCTCTGATTCATGGTATCGACTGCACCTTTTCATTGAGTGTTTGTTAGTGGTTGTTAAAGGAAAGATTAGATTTCTCTCCGTGCGGAGATTAATCAAAACTTTTTGTGTACATGCTGCACTCCCCGGAGATATCTACCATGCACTGGTTCGCACGAGAATACATCGGAAGCAAAGTAACTTGGTTTCTTCTCAGTTAGCTTATCAAGATTGCAAATGTTTTATCTCAGTATTAGCTATTATGCTTGGATCATTATCACTCGGTATATTAGTTTGTCATATAACAGGTGACTCTATGGCATCTGTCAGCTATAAGTGCGAACTAAGTATAAGCGAGGAAAGAACAGAGAAAGAGAGGAAAAAGATTATTTAGGAAGTGGGTCGTTCTGTACATGCTTTTTACATCATTTTTTCATGATGCATTGAAGCTAACTCTTGTTATACTGTTCAAGGGTCATTATAAGGTCTTCCGTTTAAATTTTGTTATGAGTATGCGCGGCCGACGGCCATAGAACCTGTAAGAAATGTGAACTGACTTATTTTTTCTGCTGTACTGCTTTCATAATGCAGCTGAGAATTTGAGGTTCTGGCTCGATTATTCAAACTTTAGACTTGTTGGAAAGAAAGGGAGATCGACTCGCGGTACAACCCTGCCTACAAAATCAGCCATTTATTGAATGCCGTATGCTACGCCGCCAAGGCTGTCAATGCCTACTCCTGATTGACAAAATATTTGATAGAGGGCCTCT